TTTCCCTGTAGTTTTTAAATTGTCTCAGTTCTTGATTATAGGTATTATTTTATGTATTTTTTTAAGGAAATGAGATATTTTAGTGTGAAAATGATCCCAAACTTTGACAAAGTGATGTGCCTGTATTTGAGAGTTGTTTTCTCTTCCCTCAGAAGTCACAGGTGTCTTTCTTTTTCATCTTACTGTCACTTGAGATCAGACACAGGTGACATTGAAACTATGACTTTGCAGGGAGCCGTGGGAATTTACCATGCCTACCCTGAGTGATTGCCTTTGAGCTAAAGACACCAAGAAGTTGGGGGAGAAACATGAAAGTAGAGCCTGGGGATGAGGATGTATCCAGGAGCTGTCCTCTGTCCCCACATAATTCCCTGTCCATGTCCTTGACCACTGTAGCTTACCATCTGTCCAGACACCATCACCCCCACTGGTTGTCACAGAGCTCTTCTAAAGAAACCATTTCCTGTTGTGGAATATTACGTTAACTAGGTAAAGGTGTGTTACATTTGTTTATGCTGCATTTGTTTAATTATGTAAAGATGTGTTGCTGTTTCACCTTGCCTGCCTAAGGTACCTGATTGGTCTAATAAAAAGCTGAACAGCCAATAGCTAGGCAGAAGAGGGACAGGTGGGGCTGGCAGGCAGAGAGAATGAGTAGGAGGAGGAATCTAGGCTCGAGAGGAGAATGAGGGAGAAAGAGAGGAAGCTGCCAGCCAGACACGGAGGAAGCAAGGAAGTAGGACATACAGAAAGAAAGGTAAAAAGCCCTGAGGCAAAACATCGATGAAGAGAAACAGGTTAAATTAAGTTTAAAGAGCTAGCCAGAAACAAGCCTAAACTAAGACTGCACATTCATAACTAATAAGTCTCCGTGTCATGATTTGGGGGCTGGTGATCCGAGAAAGCCTGCTACAGTTTCCACTTTCTACCAATTCTCTACTCTGTACTCCATTGCCAGGAAGATGTCCTAAAATGAAGATGTGTTCTGATGTGTGCCATCCATTGTTTCTTATACTGTCTCCTTTGTTTGGGAAAGGTCTTTGTTTGTCATGGTCTTCCAACTGTCACACAATGAGGCAAGTATCAGTGTCTTCCACCCCGGGGCCTTTGCACAGGATGCTCTTTCTCAGGATGCTCTTTCTTTCTCCACCCCTCTTTCCTTACCTGGTCTGAAAAGTCATGCTCTGCATCCCTTTGCTCTTCCCACCTTCAAATGGACCAGGTGTGTGCTGGTCTTCCTCAGAAGTTGGTCTGTGTGCTGGAATCACAGGGTACTCACATTGAGACTGTGGTTAAAGTTGATGTGGACCCCGGAATCATAAGGTACCTATATGTTGATAGCTCTTCCGGGTCTGTGATTCTCTAGAGAGAGAGAACACAGTGCCGAGGCTGAGAGATCATTTCATGTCCTGCTTCTGGGTTAATTCATATTAGTGATTCTCCTGTCCTACTGTTACAATTCATTACAACTCCACTACATTTTCTATCACAATATTCTGTAAGTATCATAGCTATTAAAATCACCTTTAAATAATTTTCATTAAAATTTAGATTTGATCACTAGATACATCTAGATAAACCTAAGTAAAGAATGAATGTCTTACTTAATGCATCAAATACTGTTCTTTCAGCTGAAAAAAATCAAGGAAAATTTAGTAAAGAGATTTGTTATCTTCCAATGAAATAGTTCTCAAAGGAGTTTGGCCCCAGAATTGGTTGATGGGGCTGCTTAACAGGATGATCCGAGAACATAGGTTTCCTACTTTTTAGCTGTGTCGTGCTTAGCATGATGTCTGGGTCCCTCCTAGTTCCAAGCAGCTGCCCAGCTCTAGCACCATGACAGCATCCAGAGGCAGAAGAGGCCCTCCTCTGTTTTGCCTCACTTTTTTTCTCTCTGAGGGTACCGTTCTCCTCCACGTATTCCTACTCCGCTTAGTCTCATTGCTGCTCTCTTGGCTTTCCTACACTCGTTAGGCGTGTGTCTCCTCCACCCGTCTCTGTGGCTGGAGCTTTCTGCTTTTCTTTACTGACGGTGCCACCCTAGTCCCCCCTTCCCTGTTAGTCTCTATCACTGTGACTTTTCTTCTCTCAGTGTGTTATCATCATTAGTTTCCACTCCCTTCCTCCTGCATTCTTGGTATCTTTCCAGGTAAGAATTACAGATATTTGAGAAGGTGCGTGTGGTACTCTGATGTCAGCATTCCTTATGTGGGAATTCCCACAATCAGCCATCACAGCATCACTTCTTACCGCTCTCTCTGACTACACAAGTAAACCTGGACAGAGACTGTATGGTGTGTGGCTGCCCTGGGTTGGGTAGGGATGGGGAAGTATTACTCTTACGTCTTAAATTCCTGGTCACAACTGCAGCCCTCACTCCTGAGCTGGGGGCCCAGGCATGTGGAAGTATGATCAACCCATTGGTCAAACTGCTTTCCTCTAATCTTTGAGGGGCTTCACCTCTTTGTGTCTGAGGCGTCTCCCTCCCGTCATTCTGTTTTAAGGGGAAGAAGGCTGCATTGGAGGCCAGTCTCCCCCCATCCTTGATGTGTGGCACTCACTCTAGATGTACCCTGACCAACTTCAGAGCAGGTGTGACATTCTGAAAGAGACTGGAAATCCTGAAGTTTTCAAAGGATTTGCCTGGATTAGTATTCCTGTGCAGAGCAGCTCTGCTTTTCAGTGAGTTCCAGCTACTGTACTCCTTCTTCAGGTGACATGGTCTTCAGGCAAGGGCTAAAACCACAGGAAGTCAGCCTAGCTCTAGGTGGACAGAGCTCATAGAGAGATGCTTTCCTCAGCTTGACCCCCAGTCTCAGGTCAGCTAGCTGTGGTGGAACACTCATGGCTCTCCCTGGGTGTTGCTGCAGCCCTCCAACCTAGCTTTGGAATGTAGTTGCATTACCTACTTTTCAACTTCATTTCCAGTGTGTTGGAGAGTTTTTCTTTCTTTCTTTCTTTCTTTCTTTCTTTCTTTCTTTCTTTCTTTCTTTCTTTCTTTCTTTCTTTCTTTCTTTCTTTCTTTTCTTTTCTTTTCTTTCTCTTTTTTTGGTTTTTCGAGACAGGGTTTCTCTGTGTAGCTTTGTGCCTTTCTTGGATCTCGCTCTGTAGCCCAGGCTGGCCTCGAACTCACAAAGATCCGCCTGCCTCTGCCTCCCAAGTGCTGGGATTAAAGGCGTGCGCCACCACCGCCCGGCCTGTTGGAGAGTTTCTGGCTGTCCAGATTTTCTTATTAAATTGCTAGCACTCTCAGAAGTGGTGAACTCTTGAACCTAGTGGCTTTGGGGGCATTTTGGCATGGCTCAGGGGGTTCCCAAGTATAGAAAAAAGACCAAGATCAGTTCCAGTGTGAGAGCAGCAGTGATCTGGGGGACCAGGAACTAATATGCCCTGAAGTCTCTGCCCTAAGCTCTCCAAGGCCTTGCTGATTCAGGAGTCCCAGAAGCCAATCTTCCAAAGTAGTTTATGACTAGGTACACCCCCGCCCCCAACAAATATACACTCTTCTTAAGGAAGGACCAGGCCCTGCCCTCAGGTGCTGTAATATAATAAACATTCCATGTACTTGGGGGTGGCAACCAAGAGGACTTGCTGAGAGGACCTGATCTTGTCCTGCCCTCCTGGTTTTATCTTTAGAAAGCCCCTCAGGCATCACGAGGAGCTACTTCGGTCAAGTCTATAGCAGTGTACCTTGCCTCTGCTGAAGCTGCAAACCCTGCTCTGCACACACGTCAGATAGCACTCCCCCAAATCCTTTCTAAATAGGACTGACTTTTAACTCTTAATCTAGGTAATTAGCCTCTGTGGTGTCTTCCATGACATGGTGGACTGCCTGGCATGTTGGGTCTTCTGATTCCTGTGTCCCTTACGACTGCCACCAGTCCGAGTGGGAAAGTGTTGAGTAACTAACTGCCTAGTGGGTTCCACTTAGTGCAGAGGGACACTGCTGTTTTTCCCAGTGGCCGTAGCCATGGAAGTCAGGCCAAGGGCAACTGTACTTAGAAGAAAGCCTAGGACCCTCCAGAGGCCTGCTGCTCTGTGTTTGTCCAGTCCGCTTTCACTCTGCCACAGGCAGCAGGACTTTATTAAGCTCAGCCTTTCTTTTTGAGTGTCTAGGAAGATTGGGACTTAGGTTAAAGTAGGCTCTGATTGCTCCCTCAGATTGGGACTCAGGATGTTCCTGCTGCTGGCCCTGATAAGTCATCTGTGTGGATAATTGTCTATAAATGGAGCCGGAGGTCACGGAGAGCGGATGCGAGTCTTTGTTCTCAGCTGCTGGCCCCGACCACGTGAGGCGTCCTCACCGCGAGCAGGAGGAAGGCAGTTGACACTGAGATACGGGCGGGGTCTTCTTCCAATGGCTCCCAGAGAAGGGGCTGCAGGGACCAGCGGGAAGAGCGACCCGGAGCCTGCGCGCGGTCTAGATTCTAGCTCGCCTGGTCTTTAGTCGTTCAAGTTTTGCTCTGCGAAGGAATGCATGATGCCAGACTGTGGGGGGTCCGAGAGGGGAGGAGTGTTCAGAGGAGACCACAACAGCTCAGACAGATGAGGCCAGGGGAGAGGACCAGAGCCGCGCGCCTCAGGCAGGAGCGGCAGATTAGGCATACAGCGGGCGTGGGCGCTGATTGGCGGCCGTGGCAGTGGGCGGGGAGGTAGGCGGGGTGACAGCGCACTGTACGGTTCTGCGAGGGCAGGCGTAGTAGGAGAAGGAGGAGTGGGCGGCGGGCGCTGATTGGAGGCGGCGACGGGGACGACGCCCCTGGGCAGGACGGCTTGCGCTGATTGGAGGTGGTGGTGGTGGGCGGGGTGAGGGTGGGGTGGTCCATAGTGGGTTATGGGGCTGAAGGAGAAAGAGCGCCAGCCGCGGACACTGATTGGTAGGTGGGCGTGTAGGCGTGGCGCGGTAGCGCTCTCTGTTTGGTCGGAACGGCGCTGGGCGTAGTCTATGGGCGGGGCAGACTGCCGGGAGCTGGTACTCCTGGCCGGAGGCGAAGGTGCCGCGGGAGTGATCCTGGGGCCCGGCCCGGTGGCCCGCGCGGCCTGCCCTTTGTGCTTGCAGCCCGCATCCGCGCCCAGGGCCACCGCGTCGGGCTCCCCGGCGCGCGTGCCCGCCCGCGCGCTGCCCGGCCTGGGATGCGCCAGGGATGCGCGCCCGCCGGCCCTGCGGCTCCTGGCAGCTGGGCACGGGGCGATGGAGCTAAGCATGAAGAAGTTCACGGTGCGCAGGTTCTTCTCCGTGTACCTGCGCAAGAAGTCGCGCTCCAAGAGCTCCAGTCTGAGTCGCCTCGAGGTAAAGGCCCTCCCCGGGAGCGCGCAGGATGCGGGTCCCCGCCGTACCTCGAGTGGGCATGTGGAGCCCCGAGGGCGTTTGGCCACCGGAGCCCTTTCTCACAATCCTGTGCATCATCACCCTAGACCCAAGCGTGGCATGGGAAGTTATTTGAAAACTGGTCCAGTTGTTGTTAAAATCTATCAAATCAGCTCCAAATGTTGGCACTTCATAACAACTGCACAGAGCGAGTCCTTGCTGAGACTGAAGTCTACCCCAGCGAATTTCTCTCTAGTGCTCCTCTATGTGCACAGGATACAGGGTCACTCCCCAAAGGCTTTAGAGGAGGAGGGGTGCGGTCCGTGTAGCTGGGTTGCCGCGTGCTGTGGGGTTTCTCTGGGAGGCTCCACGCAAGTCCCAAGTTCTGTAGTCTCCGGCGCCCGCCGGTGCTGTCTTGGGTCTGGTTCTGTGTGGATGATCAGGGTATTTGAGATCAGTGTAGAGTTGACCAAAGCAAGTGAGGAGGGTTTCGTGCACTCCGGCTCTCTGAGGTAGAATGCCTGACGCAATTGCCTGCAGCCTCAGCTTTGAGATAGATTGGCTCTGAAACACGAAGGACGCTGGAAAATCTTGACCTTTGCAGGTCCCTCATCTTTTCTTTTGTGGGTGTCCATAACCTGTCGTCTGTGGTTTTAACGGTGTTTTTCATGTCAACAACTAAGCTCTATCCTCATCCCAGTGTTCAGACCACATTGCTGAGTCCATAGATGGCAGAGCCGTGACCTGCTTAAGTGAAGTGTGTGAAGGAAGGCAGGCAACTGACCTAGAGGTTTCGTGGAACACTGATGCCCCTTCTTCAGGGCTGGCCCACAGTGTGTGTGTGTGTGTGTGTGTGTGTGTGTGTGTGTGTGTGTGTGTGTGTGTGTGTGTGTGGTTGTTCCATTAGGAACAATTTCACAGATTTCATTTTGGACTTCTCCGTCTCAGCCTTAGTGTGTTACCCTCGCGCAAAGGACTCTGTGATGATCCAGGTATCTTTCAGTAAAGCCTAGGGATAATATTGAAAGAGTCAGGGAATTGCTTGTTGAAAAGTTTCTTTTGCTAAATTCCAGCTCAGAGTTGAAGGGACTAGAGTGTCTCTCAGAGAGCAAAATAATAATTTTGGACAAATACAATTATTGATCTGGTAAGGAGGAGGACTATTTAAACTTAATGAGGAGAGAAATTAAGCAAACGTTCACTTTTCTAGGGTTCTGCAAAATCTAGCCAACAAGAACAAAAATTATGGAAGTATTTACCTTCCTATCAGATGTGTTTTTATCTCCTGTTTCATCACAATGCCAAGTTCATCGTGCTGTTCCTTGTCTCTGGGGTTTTGCTTTTGCTTTTCCATCCTGTGAGCAAACTCTATGTGCCATCTACAGAATACTTGGAGGGCCCTGAGTGTTCTAGAAACCTGTGTGCTGATTCAGCAAAGAGGACTGAACTGGGCTATAGAAAGGCCTCCAAAATACGGTGGCAGACAAGGTGTGTTCATGTTGGCGACAATAAAAGAAAGATTTGTTTGTTTGTTTTGTTTTTCGAGACAGGGTTTCTCTGTGTAGCTTTGCTCCTTTCCTGGATCTCACTCTCTAGACCAGGCTGGCCTTGAACTCACAAAGATTCACCTGCCTCTGCCTCCCAAGTGCTGGGATTAAGGGCATGCGCCACCACCGCCTGGCTTAAGAAAGATTTTTTTTTTCAGTGTGAAAATAACATTTTTTTTAGACCCCTACACAAACCTGTAGATATGCAGAAGGTCAAAGGGGTGAGACAGTTGGGCAGAGAGAGAGAGCTCGGTAAGTGCTTACCGCCAAACCTGTGAACGGAGAAGTAAATTGAATGCCCTCTGTGTATGTGCTGATGCCGTGCTGGGTGCTAAAGCCCAGACTAGTTAGGATACACAGATGCTCACTTTACAAATGCCCCCCTCAGTTTTCTGCCTTTTGATGTTTGTGAAAATCCATGAAGCATGTTCTGCTATCCTTATTCTACTGCGCAGGAGAGAGACCCTGAGAACGAAGGGTCTTGTTCAAAGCTTACCCATCCTTCTGTAGATGCTTGTTAAGGACCTGTGGTGAGTTCAGGCTGTTTCTGGACAGTGCAGATCCCAAATAATGTCAGACAAAGATGTCTGGCCTCAGGGCATTTCACTTACCCGGGAACATATTTATTATGTAGCTGGCTCTGTGCATTCATCTAGTAAGTCTCAGACAGTTTCACATTTCTCCAGGTACCTTCCCATTCCTCTGTATATAGGCAGCTACCTATGGGCCAAAAGAGCCCATCAAAAATGTAAGACTTAGCAGGAAAGCCTGTCAGTACTTTGAAGTTGAGAGATGGTACATAAAGTGTTGCATTGTTGTGCATTTACTTGTTGGGACCAATGAAAAAGGGCATTCACTGTACAAAAAGGAAGCTCTTCATTCTTCTATGAAAACTGCTTTTAGGATACACAGAAAAACTAAAAGACTTGGTTTTTGCAACTCGAAGTCTAATGATACAAACAGGAAATTAACAGCAAATTCAGGTTTGAAGCAGTATTTTTTTTTTTTTTTTAATCACAATATTTGGTTTAAAAACCTGGGCTGTGGAGACCAGGTTTCCTAATCATATGTGGAAATATGTGAATTTCAGCTTAAAATAAAGTCATTTAAATATTTTTGTCTTGTATTGACGTTGACCTGAGTGATTTGCCGGGTGGGCTGCTCAAGCAGATGTGCTCCAGAGACTCCTGAAGGGGAGCTGACAGCTTCACATAGCCTTGGTGGGCATAGGTATCAGCCTCAGAGCTCCTCAGAGACCCTGTCCCCAAGAAAGCTCTGACTGCAGGGCATGGGTGGCATGCCCTGAGTGTTACAGTAGTGACTTGTTACCATAGTCCAGTTACAAATGAAGCAGTGGAGGCCGAGAGCCCCTTCTGTGATGGTCTAAGGAATACCCCTCATGTAGGAGCGGGGCGGCTGTTATCAAGCCTCAGCCATGGCTAGCTGTGTAGCCATTGGTGCTTGCTGTTTTTCGGGCACACAGGAAGCTGTTGTCATTATTGAAAGGTAATTACCCAATGAAATGTTTTGGAATGTGCTTCGTAGCCTAATTTTTTTTTCTTGAAAACCTTTTCTGGAAGTTAGACAATTCTAAGTGGATCTGATCATGTGCATTCACTTAGATTCACACTCTCTCTCCCTTTGACTAGAAAGACCATTAACCTCCGTAAGCCTCGGCTACAAGACAGAATGATAGATAATGTCGGGGTTAGTGAGTGACTGTATGGAAAGATACTTTTGAGTCTTGGTGATCAGATTGCTCAGTCACTGTGAGTTGTTGATATTGATAAGGTTTACCTGGGTTTGTTGATGGTTTTGTGTCATCCAGTGTCTATTGGCTGCATGGCTGGTGGTGTCCTGGTGGCACAGGCCTTGCCTGGTAACCAAAAGCCCCCGTTCCCTTCCGGCCTGCCAAGGGGAAGGTCAGCTGCCCACAGGATAGGATGGCCACATTTGCTCAGATGGAGTTTCCATCTTCTGGCTGGGATAGGGTAACTCCTCTTATCATGCATGCCTGCCCATGAGTCAGCTGCACTTATCCACAGATCCATTACCCTTGCGGTTGCTTTGCCCTGAGCTAGGGTGGCTTTTAGAGCACAAAAATGTTCCAGTGTCCATTTTCAAGTCAGAGAACTGAGCAGGAAGGCATCTGAAACCCCATCAGAGACCCCAACAGTGTCTTTACAGGAGTATACTCCTGGCTCACATTCTCTCCAGAGGTGGTGGTGTGGTTACAGGCGTATACTCCCGGCTCACATTCTCTCCAGAGGTGATGGTGTGTTTACAGGAGTATACTCCCGGCTCACATTCTCTCCAGAGGTGGTGGTGTATTTACAGGCGTATACTCCTGGCTCACATTCTCTCCAGAGGTGGTGGTGTGGTTACAGGCGTATACTCCTGGTTCACATTCTCTCCAGAGGTGATGGTGTGTTTACAGGAGTATACTCCTGGCTCACATTCTCTCCAGAGGTGATGGTGTGTTTACAGGAGTATACTCCCGGCTCACATTCTCTCCAGAGGTGGTGGTGTGGTTACAGGCGTATACTCCTGGCTCACATTCTCTCCAGAGGTGGTGGTGTGTTTACAGGCGTATACTCCCGGCTCACATTCTCTCCAGAGGTGATGGTGTATTTACAGGCGTATACTCCTGGCTCACATTCTCTCCAGAGGTGGTGGTGTGTTTACAGAAGTATACTCCTGGCTCACATTCTCTCCAGAGGTGATGGTGTGTTTACAGGAGTATACTCCTGGCTCACATTCTCTCCAGAGGTGGTGGTGTGTTTACAGGAGTATACTCCTGGCTCACATTCTCTCCAGAGGTGATAGTGTGTTCACAGGAGTATGCTCCTGGCTCAGATTCTCTCCAGAGGTGATGGTATGTTTACAGGAGTATACTCCTGGCTCAGATTCTCTCCAGAGGTGGTGGTGTGTTTACAGGAGTATACTCATGGCTCAGATTCTCTCCAGAGGTGATGGTGTATTTACAGGCGTATACTCCTGGCTCACATTCTCTCCAGAGGTGATGGTATGTTTACAGGAATATACTCCTGGCTCACATTCTCTCCAGAGGTGATGGTGTATTTACAGGCGTACACTCCTGGCTCACATTCTCTCCAGAGGTGATGGTGTTTTTACAGGCGTACACTCCTGGCTCACATTCTCTCCAGAGGCAGTGGTGTAGTTACAGGCATATACTCCTGGCTCATGTTCTCTCCAGAGGCAGTAAAGGTTTTTAATTAATTTAAAATTACGTTATTTACTAAAGGTAAGACTTCATCTAGTTGACTAAAGGCATTGATATGCAGAGTCAGCTCACTCACAGAATGGCCTGTCCCTTGTGTTAACAAGGCCAGGGAGGTCTCTGATCTATTATTTGGGCCATTTCATCTGAAACTGACATTTCTACCAAAAGATAGTTGGTGAGAAATGAGGAGC